CCTTTAGAGACATTAAAGATTGAATCTCTAAATATCCCATATAGTACACCAAAAGGCTAGAAAAGCTTTGAATGTGATTGCGTTTTGTTTAACAGAAGATGAGGTCATTCATAACCACAAACTGTATGAGAAATTACTACTTAGTAAGACTACAGGTTGCCTAGTGACCACAAGTTTGAGTATCCCTAATACGAAAATCCAAAATCTGGAATGCTCCAAAATCAGAAATTTTCAGCATGAAATGACACTCAAAGGAAATGCTCATGGGAGCATTTTGGATTTCAGGTTTTCCAATTAGGGATGCTCAACCACTTAGTATATGCAAATATTCTAAAATACATAATGTGAAATACTTCTGGTCCTAAGCATTTCAGACAAGGGATACTCAATGCGTAATAGTAATATTATGCAAAAATTTTGTATTAGAGGCATCCATGCCCATTTGTTTGAATATTCTCTATGACTGATTTGTGACTAGTTGCAAATGAGACCATATGGCTTACAAAACCTAAAAGATTTACTATCTGGCTTTTTACAGAAAAAGCTTGCTAACCCCTTGTATTCTAATTATTTATTTAATTCAAGCTTCCCCAAGCTCACTGTTATTATGTGCTGTTGTTTGTTAAATATTTTTGTAATAAAGGAAATAGGTGCAAGTTATAAATAAATAAGATTAGACTACTTTGAAATATGTCTGTGCTGACATTTTTATTTTTATTGCATATCATGATTACATTTTTATTTCAATCAGATATATTAATATAGATTCAGTTTTATATATAACATTTTAATGATAACGATATTTGTTTATATAATGGTTATGAGGCCTTAAAATTTTGCATACTAGATATTAATTATAGTAAAACTCTATCTATACTATTTATTTCCAAATTAAATATGATTTGAAGACACCATGGTATAAATCAGAAGTTACCAAACTGTCTTGATTCATTGTACCTTTAGTGCCTTAGAAATATTTTCACAGTGCCTGTAGGCCAAAAGAAATTCTGTAAAAGCAAACCCTGAGATCCACTTTCAATCTCCTCTGAGAGTAGCAGCAGATCAGTCCAGCAAATTATAGAACATTGAACAATAATCATCCAACTGAATAAACTGTAAGTACAAGTTGACAATTTTGAAAAATGTACTTTTTTTATAAGCGTACCTGATTGGTGATTTGAAATGACTAAAATCACTCATTGGCTACATAGGTATTTTGAATAAGTCTACTTAGCTCACAGGATTAATTAGAGTCAATTTCTGGTTTTGCTCAAATTATCCCTTTCCAGCGCAAGGCTTGCTCCAAATTCAGGTATTCCAGTTGTATTTTTTGCTGTCATTGAACTTTAGCCATGACGTAAAAGGCTTTAGCCTTTCACAGTACCATCTACAAGTAAATAGCATTTCAAATATTTTGGGATGCTTCTTCCTCTTGTTTCAGATGGACCAGCTCTTGGGAAATATGATTGAAATGTGGGTTGATCGAATGGACAACATTACCCAGCCAGAAAGAAGAAAACTTTCAGCTTTGGCTTTGCTTTCTCTTCTGCCATCTGATAATAGGTGAGGAAATGTTTTCTTAAAATTCATTCCTTTAAAACATCAAAAAGTTAATACTATTTTTGGCCACCAGTGTTGTGGTGTGTTACTGGGCAGTGTTGATTTTATATGTATGGATGCTAATTTTGTTGGTAGTTAATGATGTGGCAAGTAATTAAATATCTAATATTTCAAAGTCAGTAGCACTTCACAAGTGCTATTGGATAAGTATGATAACTCAAGAGTTTTGTTAAATAATTTTGTTTTCTTTTTATTTTGAATTATTTCTAAAGAAGCTTGCAAGTAGTCTTTTTCTCCTTAAAAATTCTCATTTCCGTAAAACAAACACAAAATGCTTTGGATCATTTAAAGAATATATGTTTTCTTTGTTTTAATCCCTGCTTTTGTGGAGTTTGACATTATACACTTTTTTTGTACTTTTTGTTTGTTTTTATAACCTTTTGACAATCAGCAATTAGTTCTCATCCACATTGTATAGATTTGTGAAAGTGGTGACAGGTATATGGGCAACCAACATATACAGCTTGGTTGGTGAATATTTATCCTCATTAGTTTTTTTGAACAACTGCTCATAGATACAATATGGAATTCCTTATTCCTTTGCCCCAGTCAGTTTCGTTGAGCCTCGTATCAATGCACACATCTGGAGTCCTTTTTTTCATGGCAAGTTTCCAGATTCTTTTTGGTATCCAAGGGGCATGCTTCTTGAAGGCCACTTCATGGATGTACTTTATAAACATCTCACTGGTAGACAATTTTTGGTGCTTTTAATTGTGAAGGCTTAAAAGCAGGCCTGAAGACTTAATACTTTGTGAGAAGCATAATGGTAATATATTAGATCTTTATGTCTTAGGGAATTTTTAGAACATACACGTTCTAGTGGTACAGCAGTGACATAAGCCCAGTTAGTTTTAGGGATCATTATTGTTCTTTATGCATTATTTACTTCTACTGTGGTAATTAGGATTAAGAACATAGGTAATTATTTTGCCCTAACACCATAACAGTAGATAATAGTTACAAAATGCTATACGCTTTGCCAAGTGCTAAGATAATATTTGTATCTCATCTAATCCTTGAAACAGTCCCATGGTGTATAGGCATGATTATCTTCTTCTTCCAAAGCAAACAAGTGCTTAAAAATTGTGAAGTAACATTTGTAAGGTAAGAGATGTGGCACATAAATATAGTATGGGTCATTCCTGATTCCTTTGGCCCAGTCAGCTTTGTTGAGCTTCATACCATGTGGCATGGCATAGGCTAAATTTGAAAACCTGGGCACCTTAGTAAATGTCAGGACTTCCTGTTTTAACCACCAGGTGATATTGCTTCCTGGGTGGACAAGCACAAGACAAACAGATTTCCTCACTATGAACTAGAATGGCATCTTATTTATTTTTGGAAACCAAGTTTAATCTCCCTGTGTTTTAACTTATTGCTATTTCTCTTTCTCTTAGTGGGAAAACAGTGATTCGGGAATTATTTAGGCTTTTAATATTGAAATATTAAAAAACATAGTCCTTGGTAGTAGTTAGCACTTTGTAAACAAAATAAATCAATGAATGGAAAAAAAATAGGATTGAAAAGCACGTTAGAATTTTCTTTAACATCAAGTACTAAGATTATTGAGAGAAAGCTATAAATGGCACAGGATTAAGTATAGAAAGATATATAAATTGTCTTGAAAGCATATTTGTTTTACATTTTTCATAAGTATACTGTTTGCTTTAGTATTTAATTTTATGTGAATGTGTTGTTCAGAAATATTTTTGGTATATAAATTATTGAAATTTAATACAGGTTAAGTGTCTCTTATCTGAAATGCTTGGGACCAGAAGTGTTTTGAATTTCAGATTTTTTTTGGATTTTGGAATATTTGCATATATGTAATGAAATACCTTGGGGATAAGACCAAGTCTAAACAGGAAATTTATGTTTCATACACACCGTATGCACAAAGCCTGAAGGTAATTTTATACCATGTTTTTGTTAATATTGTGTATGAAACGAAGTACTTATATGTGAATTTTACTTGGGGTAGGGGCTGGTACTGGATTTCAAGACCATGTTTTCTGTGTACTTCCTTCACCTTTCCCCAGACAGAAAGGAATCTCTCTCCACGCTTTGCTTTCAATGGTTGGCGGAGAGCAAAAGCAGTCCCCTGAACACTGCAATTGTCATGCTGTGTTGCACCTGAAATCTATGGCCTCTCAGAACAGCGCAGGACCCAGGCTCACCCAAGGACTGTGATTGCTGCAGCCTACCTGCCACTGAAATGTATTCAGGGTCTAAGGCCACTTTGGTCATCCAGCATTGAAGTGGGCTGAGACTCAGGTTGATCCTCTCAGGATGGTGGATTCCCTTCTGGCGCAGGGCAGGTCTAGGAGCTCTGTCCGTGGGTACTGGACTGTAATCAGGGACCATGGGTTTCTACCGGGTGCTGTGTTTTATTAGCTGCTGGGTTGGCCAGTACTGGATTCCAAGGAAAAGTTTCATACACACTTCCCTCTCCCTCTCCACCAAGCAGGCAGATTCTCTCACTGCACTGCACTGCCTGGGCTTGGGGTGGTGTAGGCAATGCGAGACTGTCTTTTCTCCCTTCTTCCATGCATCTTTTCTTGTTCTTATGCCCAAACCAGGTACTGTGATCTCTCACTTGGTTTCTTTAGCTCTTCTGAAGCTATTTTCTTGTGTGGATGTTTGTTCAAATTGATGTTCCTGCAGGGGAATGATTGCTGGAAGGTTCTGTTTTGCCATCTTGATCCTCCTTCTCGCTCAATAGTTGCTCTTTTTGTTGTTTTTTCTCAAGATATAACTTGAACTTATTTCCAACCTAGTTTGTGTTATCTGATTACATAGTGATTTGTGGAAAGGGGCAGTGAAGTAACAAGGGGAAAGTTGTTTAGAAATTTTATTTTTCCAGAGTTGACTGTAAAATGAACAGTCTTCCTGGGGTATCTTGAGTGGTGACTATTTCTATTTCGTTTATTGTTGTGTAAGGAAAAGAGAAACATGAATAAGATTACTGATTACTTTGAAGTTTCAGTACCTCAAATGTTGTGGTTTTGCTCCCCAACCACCTTTTGAATATGTGGTTTACAGGGGGATAGATACCCTTAGAAGTTCAAAAGAATATCTTTGGATTATGCATGTTTTCCTTCTTTGTATGTAATCTAATGCAATTTGTAGTAATTTTTGGTTCTGATCATTTCAGTTCAACTGGGGTAAAAAACTCTCTTTGATGCAGCTTTGAATGTTTTTATTTTTTGACTAAATTATGCATATGTATCTTTTGGTTCTTGTGAATGTATTGACTGGTTTTCTTCCCAGGCATAATTTGAGTAAGATACCTATTTTTGAACTAGTTAATATTTATAAACTGAATTTTGTTAGCTTTAATCTACCAGAAGCTGGAGGGTATAGGCAAGTTTTAGGAAGATGAACAGTTAGTACCACAATTGCATGTTCACTGCCTTCATCTGTATACAAAACAGTCTTATGAAAAAAGGGGTAAATTATTAATTCCTAAACTTGTTGATTTTTAATTGAAGGGTTATAATCATTTATAAATTTTTTTAAAGCTTCCAGCAGTCCTTTGAAAATCAGTCGTCCAAAAAACAGTTATGTACTTTTTGATGTATTTTGACATGTTTCTATCCTCCCACCTTAGGATTTGAAAGGAAACAATCCATTTTCATTTTATTTCCAATACAAATTTACTTTACCCTTGAAAGATGCATTAGAACTAAAGTGCTTTGATATCAACCTTAAGATGCTAACTAAAACAACAAATATTCAGCAGTGTTTTTAAGACGTTGTTATGTGCTAGGTCACCATGCTGTCCATTGAGGACACATTGCACTTCACCTTTAGGATAGATTATTGTTCATTGCACCCTGGCATCCTAGAACAACAACTATTTACATCTTCTAACTCCTGTCCTAACTACTTAGGAAAGTTCCTCAATGCTTATGAATCTGGGACTGCATTCTCAATGTTTTCCTTGCATCTAGGAGCAATGCTTTGTCTGCAAATTAGATAAAGGTTTCTGACAAACTGTTTTCATATTACAGACACTGAGTAACCTTAACTAATCACCAACCATTGTATAACAGCTGCCTTTTAAATGTATCACCCAGAAAACTAAACTGTGATCCAATAAGATTACTTTGATGTTCCAGGACCTCAAACTGCTTTAGAATGAGAGTAAGAGAATTTTCTGAATGAAAATGTGATATTGGGTCTAGGTCCTCAAAGTGGTTGAAGCCATATGGAAAAATCGTTGTTATAGATTAGTTAGCCCCAACAAGGGGACAGAAGCATAAGAATAGAAAAAGTACTCATAGGCATAAAGTTATGAATCTTGTGTACTTTTTTGTTTTTCCTATGTAAAAAATCTGTGTGTGTATGTCACAAGTCATTCCTTCATAGACTATGGAATATCTTATTTTTGGATATTCTTTACTTGAGTTTTTGCTTTCATTCTATCCAAGAATCTCAGAGAGAAAAAGATGCAGTAAGATGGAGATTAGAGCTGGATTTGGCTTCAGAGACATGTTGTACTATTTGTGTGACATTGGACTAGTTTTCCGTCTATGGCCCTCAGTTTTCTCATGTATCAAATGGGAGGCCGTGATACCAGCTAGCACCTGTGGGTTATTATGAGGATAAATTGGAGAATCTGTATATAACGTCTGTTAAAGTGTTGAATGAATATGATCACTCAGTAAATAATTGTTGCTGCTATCAATCATTTTGACCAACTGTGTGATGGTACCAACTTATCTGACAAGTACATATCCTTTTTGGGATGCTTTCTCACATTCATCCACTTTATGTGTGAATGAGGAAATTTATAACAAGTAAATAATAACTAATAGAGCTCATAATTTGTGCCAGTCTTTATACAAGATGTTTTTCATATACATCTTACTTGATTTTGTCAACAGTTCTATGGGAGGTGGACATATATTTAACTCTTTTAAAACACATAATCAAGGCTA